CATATTTACTTATTATTTTGTAAAAAAATAGATTGTAAATTTTTTGTTATAAATAAAAAAAAATATTTGTTATACTTATATAAAAGCTGTCCTTGGGTTACCTTACGATGTTAGAACACTTTTTCGTCATCAATGCACCAGATAACGATCATCAACATTATCAGACTTTAGACCTGGATCTCAAGGTCATTTGGGGATGATCGTCAAACATCGTTCTAGCGGTTCAAAAATGACATGAGGGAAAAAAATACCACCCACAATTTCGATTTATTTTTCCTCTATACACTATGTTTTTATTGATGTATTTCGTTGTATGTATGGTTTGTTTTATTTCTCTCTATGTAAATTTTTTAAGAGGGCAATTAGTCTGTGAATTATAAATTTTAATAAGTAAAATGTATTTTATGTAGATATGCCTAAAACATCTATTATAAAAATAGAAGAAAAATTGTAATGTAATATTATAGAAATAATTATTCTAATTAGATAGTCAGTGAATGGATCAGGTTATTAGAGCGTGTACCGATTCAAGAACTTAACAACTTGTTGTTCCTATGCAAATGCTGTTGATTATATTCCCGCTCTGTCGGTATGGCTTGAACCGAGGAGTTTGCAAGTGCGGAAGTACCTAGTGTGTAGAAGATATCTTTGGCTAAAAAACGCCCCAAGAAATTACAACAACGACCCAACTACTGTCGATACATACAAAAAATACGAATTTAACAGTGGCCTTAAATATAGTACATCATATCGAATATATGATACAATTTTCATGTTCTTTGACGCAATTTATTTTATAGACAGCGACTCGAAAAGAAAATACAATTTAATTTACTTTCACTACAACATAATATCTTTATTTCTCGTTTGAAATACATTTAATATTTATTTTCTATTACAATACATCTTTTCTCATTACAATGTGTAATAAGAACTAAATATTAAATGTAGTTCCAACGAGAAATTAAAGATATGTTGTAGTGAAAGTAAATTAAATTGTATTTTCTCATGGAGTCGCTGTCTATAAAACAAATTGGATCTAAGAACATGAATATTTTATGAAGAAATAAGAGACTATATTATAGTTTAAAAATTTGTTACAAAATATGACAGGCTTTTGAAAACGTAAAGATCATATTCCAAGGCAAAAATCGTATTTAGTGTGACAGGTCGAGTAGAAAGATTGAAAAAACACGTATGTGACGTATTTTATGGCCGACTCCCAATTAAGCTTTCTAAACTTCTGTCATCGATTACACGTCATACTCACTGACGATAGCCCAATAAGCATCCGCATCGCTTTGGGGCCCCAAGCAGATCGGCTCACGAAGAGGAGCTCAAAACAAAAACAAGATCGACGCACAATGCGAGAATCTGCTAAGCTGACAAACTGCCAAGAAGAATTGACCAACGTTCCGCCGTGATGATAAGAGCCACTGATCACTGACATGCCCCCACCGTCGGCGGTCAGTGTGCCTGACTTAGGGAAGGTCGCAGCATCGTGGACGCTGCCATCCAGCTTCTTCCCGGCTCATCGAATCTTCCAAGTGAGTATCCTTTACAAGCGCTGCTTTTGGTTTCGCCCACTTTTTTCCATCTCTTTCGATGATTCTTCGACAAGGAATTTATAAATGAACAATAGTTTTAGGTTTTATTAGGGGAAAACGTTCGAGATACATGAGAAATATAGACAATCAGGGGAAAATATGAATATATTGCAAAAACTTGTGAAAGAACTCGCGTTGGTACTAGGAAGAACAGAGTCAATTATCGGTGAAGATCTAAATTTGCCTCAAATTCAGTGGAAAGAAGAAGTGACGGAGGGGCGAGGAGCGAAGGTTATGGTAAAGGAGCTAGTTTGGACAAATAACTTCGTGCAAGTAGAAGAGCAACCAAACGAGAGATAATGGGGTAATAGACATATGTTTAACGCTACTGGAGGGATCCGGTGGCTAAGGGACATTTGGCAGGGAATTCAATAAAATAATACGACTTTTTGTAGATGACTGTATAATATATCGGAAAATTAAGGACAAAAGTGATAAAGAGATATTGCAGGCTGATTTAGATAGGCTAGAATCATCGGCTATCACAAATGGTAGGCAGAACACGTAAATTATGTAGTGAAAAAAGCGTGGAAGACATTAGACTTTGTGATTAGAGTTCTTAGGAAAGGAAGTGAAAAATCAAGGGAATTAGGGCTCACATCTCCAGTACGGTCGATTTTGGAATATGGCTCCATATGTTGGGACCCATATCGCTTAGGGCAAATAAAATCTGTCGAAAAAGTACAAATATATGCCGCAAAATTTGTTAGGACAGAACGTTCTAATTCTGAATTGATATCTTGGGAACATTTGGAAAAACGAAGAGAGAAATCGCGTCTTTGTGCGTTATTCAAATCAATACGAGGTGATCGTCCGTGGAGGGAAGTGCGGGCAAGATGATCAAAACCCACGTACGTCTCGCGGAAAGATCATAGTTCTAAAATTCGGCAAAGAGAACAGATGTAAGTAAATTCTCATTTGTTAACAGAACAATACAAAATTGGAACGTTTTGCTTGCAACAGTGCTGAAGACTTTTTCTCAGAATGTCAAACAAAATTTAATTAGATTAAATAAATTGTAATATTTTTGGAATATGTTTAAATTAAAATATTTTTTGAATTATTATTGTTATTTTATATTAGATCAACTTTAGGATCATAGGTTTAATATATTAAACATTGTAAAATTGTATTAAGTAATATGTAAATATTGTAATGTTCCTTTGATGTGTATTTGTAGTAACTATCTAGAAAACACTACCACCGGAAATGTTCAATGAATTCCTAAGTAGAGAAATAAATATTATATTCTATTAATACATTTTCTAAATCTATTCCATTGAAGATCCATTGCTCTGCATAAGTATCTCTAATTCAATTTGGAAGTAACAAGTATTTTTACTTCTTAAAATTAGTGAAACTGTGTATGAATACAATTTTTTATATTAACTTATTTCTTTAACGCCAAAAACTAAATAATTGTATATGACATTTGAGGAAGTGTTTTACAACTTTATAACCACTAATTTGGCTGCATCAAACCTTGAATTAGTTAAGAAAAAGCAGATACATATTTTTACGGCGTTATGTATCACATGTAATAAACCGCCAAGCATTCAGGTTACTTTCTCCTTTCACCTGCGAGTTAATATTAATTAGTTTGTTTTGTAATTGCATTACTTATTTATTGAGTTGTGCTTGTGGGCTTGTGTATCGGGTTGCGGAAAGGCAAATGTAAAAATAATTTCCTATGAAAGGCAGACCTTTTATCATACAGCTTTCAGACACTGAATATATGACACATGTGTACTGTTTAAACAAATGTTCATTGTGAATACATTAAGCATTCATAATCTTCTTACTACCTTGCATGATTAAACTTTTCATGTCCTAATAATGGTTGAAGAGTGTACTTTTTGCTATGAATAATAACAGAGTATCTTTTACCTTACTTCCAAATTGTGTTTTCCAAAGTTACAGCAAATAGTGTTTCATGAAAATACCTACAGGGTTGCTTTAAACAGGTTTTATATTGTCTGTATTAAAAATAGTAATTTGTGTTGTACATCAATAACATATCAATGTTTCATTTGTTTTCCTACCCTTCATCCGTGTACTAAGAATACGTTAAGTTAAATTTATAGATTCCTCTGAGTAGTACGTGTTATTATTAAAATATAAAGGAATAATGGATGTGATTTGCAATCATTGTAACTACTCATTCAGTGATTACGCAGACAAATGAAAGTGAAATTTGTATTAGACAATTCGAAAATATTTTTCTGTTATAAGTTTCTAAACCAAATGATGGAAAAATTGTATTTGAAAAAAATAATTTAATTCATAAATAATAGTATGAATAGTCAATGCATCATTTGAAGTTGATGCCTGTTTTCGTTAACCCCTGTCGTTTCACTAAACAATTATAAATATAAAACGCGTTTATGGCCTGTTTCAAAGAGTTTCGAAAACTAAAGGAATAAATCGCAAGAGTAAGAATTGTGTGAAAATAAAATTAATTATTTGTCTCGTACACTGACGATTTTTGTCTAATCTGGTAAGATGTCATGCGTTTTTGCTACTAATCAGAGGATATCCCGTTGCATATAGTGAATGTTAATGTGTAATGTCGAATAAGAAGTTAGTGACCAATGCATGGTTTTATGCCTATTTTCAGAACAATACGTCGATTCGTTTCAAAAAGTATTTTATTTGTGAAATGTTAGTTTTATCTTCTAAGATAATTTCTCGTTAAAATTATTAGTAAAGAGAATATAAAAAGAACTTGGAAATAAGTGGGTTGAAGTGCTTTTGAACAATTTATTTACATATATATTTAGAAAACTGAGAATATTTTAATCAATATTTTTTAAGTTGGTTTAATTTAATAATAGGTATTTCGTCAAAACAAACGTAGGCGTTTAAATAATTTTAAATTAAGTTTATTAATAACAAAATTTATTTCATTTATACGAAGTCAGATCTAGACCTCAAGATGGAATCGTTAGTACATAGTCCATCTTTAACGGTTTAGAAGTTGCTGAGAAATTTATTGAACGATTGGAATACAGAGAGGAAAGTGGGAGTAATGTTATATAATGGAAGTATAAAAAGGATACCTTTGAAAGACCTGTCAACTAGAACATTATTTCTAGTGTGTTGTTGAACATAAAACAAATAATCATTAATAGTATTAAATATGGTTTTTAAAAAGCACCTGGTCGCTTGTAAACCTTGTTGCAACTGACATGAGTTATCAATAGCTTTATTTCTCAGTTCAAGACTTTGTATTGAAAACATGGAAAGTATTCAGTCTTATGTAGGACATGTATTCTTTAGCGAAACCTTTTTTCGCGGTCAAACATGTATGATCTTGGTCCAATAAGCTAACTTTTGAAATGATCTCTTATGCAATAGAACCTAAAGCAACTAGTGCAACTTCACATTTCTGCTTATCACTGTGCCCCTTGTCCAACATCTATTTCATAGATTAAAGAAATCATTACTCCATACAGAGGGCAACTTATCAAAGACCAAGAGAATATCTACGCAATTTCTAGAAGTATTATGGATACATTAACTTACGATAGAAAATATAATTGAGCAAGATTGAAATAATCCACAGTTATTCATGCTAAAATAGTGTGTAATCTTCACAATTGTGCGCGTTTAAAAAATATTAACCAACAATAAGCCTGAAAAGCAATGACTAATAATACGATAACATTTGTCATCACCCTATTAATTTTGCAGAACAAATGCATCAAAGAATTCATCATGTTGGTACCTTTCCAAAGACGGCATGAAATGCATTCATTATTAGTTACATATTATCTGCATACATTTATACACAAGAAATGATTGATAATTCTATTTCATTTCCTTCACGTTTATTAGCTCAAAACCGACCCAGCAGCCGATTGACGCAATCAATTTCAGCCGTCACAGAACCATTGAAATTTATATAAGAAGATTCCAAATGAGACTATAACTATTTCATCTGAATATCACATATTTCCAATATAAAATTACGGTTCTCTTGCAATAAGAATGTTTTAAAACGCATGAAGTCTGGAAAGTAAAGAATAAGTAGGAAGAGATATATTAGTTAATATCCTGTTGATATCTCATATAACAACTAACACTAGAACAGAGTAACTAAATACATTCAACAGAACTCACCAAAACCAAGACGTAGTGAACAATAGTTACCAATATTCCGTGAATTTATTTGCTTTTACTGAAAAAAACGAGAAAAGTTTGAGAATTTTAAAAATAGCTTAAATTAATCATAAAATGAATAATATATGATATTTTATTGCATTTTTTAAACACTTCCATAATACAAATAGCAATTCTTAGTTTCTGGAGCATCAGTACCGCAATGTGTGTAAATGTGAGCTTGTCCCGTGTAGACTTTACAACAAATACATTATACGCTTGTTCTAATGTGGAATGGATTGTCAATCATTTACTTAGTTTAATTGTATGTTACAGGTCCATATTTTTAGACAATCACCTTTATTTTGATAAAATCAAATAGTAAATTGAAAGGGTTAAAATATTGTTTTATTGTATATACTCTAGTCGAGACGTTTCGGAGTTTCGATTTCCTCCATCTTCAGACGCATTAAAACAAAGTATGCATAGCTGATATGACTCGATGGTTAACTTTACCATATATTCCCTACGCAAATGCTGCGGTGGTCACCGCCATATCTTCGGTGCGAAGAGAGTTCGAAGGTTGGTCTTAGTCTGAGGAGTCGGGCCCTACCCTTGCGCAGTGAAATGCCATTCTCCTTCTCCTTGTGTTGTGGTGCTGCTGTCTCTGGCTGCAGCAAGGAGACTTAGCCAGAGACAGCGGCAGCATCACACAAGGTGGATGAGATTGGCATTTGATTCTGGAAAGGTAGGGGCCGGCACCGCAGACCTTCGGGCTTTCTTCGTACCGAAGATATGGTCTAATAATAATTGAAACAGCCTATCGCATTCCAAATCTTTTATTATCAGCGATCACTGCATTTTGATAGTGTTTAAATATGGATCTTCAAGGGTAGTTCCCTCTTCATTCTTCAAGTTACCCACAATATCACTCTACATCTCCACCATCACTTAGTGCGGACTTGAGAAAAGTATCTGCGATTGTATTACCATTCAACGGTATATATTTTAAGAAGATACTGGTACTTTTTGTTGGGTTGTTGAGTGGTGAGATGAGTGGATTTGACTATATTAAGAACAATTAAGAACAAGCATAAATCATTTCATAGCCCGAATTTGCTATTGTAGCCAACATCATCCATCATCATACTAATAAATAATCTGGTTTCAAGGTCATAGCTGGCGCTGTCCGTGTGCTGTGGAGAGCAGATTGTGGAGGAAGCGTTGGCGCCGGCGCAGAAGCTGCAGTTCGCTTGGCCTCTCCGCCCTTCGCGTCGACGGTCGTGAAGTGCTTCCAAATTCCTTCGCATCGTATCCTCGACTCAGTTACATCAGAACTCAGCACTGAGAGAGACCAGCAAAGCAGAAACGTCGGGGCGAAAATGGGGTAATGTTTCTTAATTAAAGTATCACGTATAAAATATTTCCTAAAGAAATAAATAGAATGACAACTTACTTACAAGGAGAAAAACTATATTCACTAAGACGAGATCACACCAGCACTTTTAATAATTTGGTTATAATAAAATAATAACATCGAGATGGGCATAAGTAATCTACACATTACAACTACAAAGTGAGAAATAAGTTGCGAAGTGAATCAGACGGTGAAGAGCTCTTCACTGAATTTTTTTTTAAGGAAACTTTGAGTTCTCGAATATTGAGTTCTCGAGGTTGAACTAAATTTTGATGAAAGAATTGAAGCGTTAGATAACTTATCGGACACGCCAAAAATATGAATATGAAAGCGTCTGGCTTTGGTGGTAGCACATATCCTGCTCTCGAAATGAGAACTAACTCAATGATGACAAGGATGTCGCCCAGAAGGTATGCAATTTGCTCTACTTGTGATTTGAACGTGAACATTCGCCCAAATTAAGAACAACTTATGTAAACACACGTAGTATTAACTTTTGTGAACCCGAAAAAACACTGAAGCTACGTTTAAAGGAAATAGTCAAACAAACCATTTTGACAAAAACTCAAAAATGTACCCGCTTAAGCATTTCCTATAATCGCTGATGTCTGAGCATGTTTGCGATGCGAAAAAATTCTTCAGGGCAAAAACTCATTAGTGTAAATGTCTGAGTAGGTGTCCAAAGTCAAATTTCTGCCGCTGGTATGCCTTAAAGGAAACATTGTGAACTCACAAATCCATGAATCAAAATGTAATAGCGATATGTCTCCTGTCTCAGTTTGCCAAAAGCTTAGAAGAATTTCGTGTGTATACAGAAAATTCGAATTAAAGGAAACAAGATACAACCATTTATTGGCGCTAAATTGGAAACAAAGCAGCTGGTTAAGGTACCAGCTAAAAAAAAGTGGATACTTTATTGGTGAAGGCCGCTTGTGAGGAGAATCCGGTTGGACAGAGGAGTGCTCGAAGATCCATATTAAGGTGGAAATATTGAGTTCGAGGAAGAATTGACTTAGCGTCGAAGAGACAAGAGTGGAAGGAATTAGAAATTAGGAAGATAATGATCAGGACAGAGAATTGTATGGAATAACAAGTATCTAAATATGTACTAAATATGTTCAAAATATGGAATAAAATGTGAACTGAAAAGTGAATAAAAATTTTAAATATTGAAAATAATACATCAAGATGTATAACTTCACTAGAGAATGCAAATCTTGTAAAGGCATCTCCCTAAATTTTACAAAATAAAAAAACTTGTTAATACAATAGATAAACTGATAGAAAGGCATATAGTACAGTTTTAACTATAGTATAAACATAGCCACCGTCACCTAGAATTCTTGAAAACATCTCTCAATCTTATGTTCTGAAGAGTTTAAAAAAATGATTTCGCGAAAACTGGAGTTACAAGTTTTTCCTTACCTAGTGATGATAAACAGAACGGTAAAATAATTCGGTTTAATATTAGCTGTAGAATAAGATTTAATCATGTTCTAAAATACACTGAATTTTTCTGTTGCTGAAAGGAAGCCTCTTAATTATTTTTTGCAATTTAAAAATCACTGTTTTAAATGAACCACTGAGAAGCTTTTCTTTTTATTTCTTAATATTACTTTGTACTTTTAAAATGTTAAAATGCTGCTCAACATAAGAAATAGAAGTGGAGACCGCCTCGAACCTCGTAATATATTGTAGAGCTACTAAACTTCGGATATTCTTCTAAACTTTTATTCCCTTAAATAGCATTAAAAGAATAAAATATTTTCAAAGAATAATTTTAAAGGACATTAATATGGAAGATACTGTGAATAAAATGTTGAAATATATGATGGTATGTGCATTTTGTTTGAATATGTACTACACCTCGAAATAAGGCAAATATGAATAATCAAATAGGTTCCAAATCACATCAAAAAGCCTTATTCGTAAACATGTGGTAAAGTTTGATATTAGAAAAAGAAAACAAATACGTTTACATGAAAAAACCTAGCCCTGATAATGGTAAAGATTTGCCAAATGGGAAATAGCTTGATTCTGATTTTCTTCGCCCTGGGCGAGCCGCGGGCCCCCCTTCGGCGCTTGACGTACAGGTGTCTAACAAAAATCAATTATGTGTCAAAATCGCATTAGAGTAACTTATAATTTTCGCTTTCTGATCACATTATTTAAGAAAGATTATTCTTCAGTCATTTTTCAGAATTTTACCAGCCTTTGCTTTTACTTTCTCGCCTTACCAATACTTGGTAAGAAGAAAATGTTATGTAATCGTGCGTCAAAAAACGGCAAAACGTTTCATTTATTATTTCATTGAAGGCGTTGGTTTCCTCAGCGAGTGAAATATTTTAATATTCAATAAATCTTACAATATCTATCGATATCAGATTTCTGCTACTATACAAGGTTTCGAATTTAAGTGATGTCAGTTTCCAATGATAATGACAAACATAACAAACAATGGTTTTAGGTAAGAAGTTTAGACTACAAATGACTAAGATTAAATAAGTTACCCAAATTTTAAAAACAACGGTTTCCAGAATCAGTTATTTCATACGTAAAGGACATGAGAGTAGCAACTTAATGTTGTCTTTCAGCAGCGATTATTTCAAGGTTTTAAATATTACTTATACTGTGAGTAAACTAAGCGGAATTTAAAGAAATGGTTTAAGCAAATTTAAGTGAGTATTGGTAATAAGCTTATAACATCAGTAGCAGAATACCTTCCAATAGAAAATAATACAATTACGAATAACTCCAGTAATCTTTTTAAAGAATAAATTTATAATTTTTTTTCTTTTTCAGGTTGGTCAGTTTGTATCTTATGAGCTCAGCGCCCCTGCGCAGTCCCCGCTTTCGAGTTATGTCTCGTTACTCCGAAGAAACGCCTTGGTGACGTCTAACCCCCGTCACACCCGTCTACTTTATCACTTCACGACTCACTCAATTCGTTCAACATGGCGCTTGATTTTGTGGCCGGATGCGTGGGAGGTAAATACTAAATACGTTTGCAAACGCAAATGTCAAAGCAATTGAAAAATTGCCTATTGTATAAAGTCAATTGTGTATCACAATTGGCAAAATGTTTTGAATATGTTATCACAGATGAAAAGCGTTAATTTATGAATATTAAAAAAAAAAGATCTACCCCATTTCTAAATTCAGTCAATTAAGGATACAAATAAACGCAATTGAATAAAATTGAATACGCTAGGCAATTTCTTGCGAACAAAAGATTCAATTTTCAAGAAATATTTTGTCGTTAAGATAAAGTATTCAAATATACTGTTGAATGAATATTTAAATGAATATAAATAAATAAATAAAACAAATAAAACAAATAAAATAAATAAAATAAATAAAATAAATAAAATAAATAAAATAAATAAAATAAATAAAATAAATAAATTTTGGAACATCTTTTACATTTTGGGGTAATGTGGTACATCATGGTATTTTCACTCCGTGGTATGGATTGTAAGAAAAGTTCAATCAAATTCTTGACGTTTTGTAATTTTTACTAATGTTTTTGTCACTTACTATTATTTTCACTGTCAACGATTGTTTGGAATATTTTTATAATATCACTATAAAGATATTTCTTAGTTTCTTAAATAGTTTGTTTTCTATGTTATATTTCATTACCCCATTAACTGCCAAGGTACCTAGTTGGGGACCTCAGACCTTATTTATTATTGCGTGGTTTTGTGTACTTTAACTTGCGAATTTTATTTATTCAATAGTTGGAAACATTCTAAAAGAAAAATATAAGCAAGTATTTTTTTTAAATTTCTGAATGCCGGATGTTGATTTAGCCGTGATCGCTAAGGCATTGTACGCTCCTGGCCAGGATGTACACATGACTTACGTCGGTTTGAGTCTTCATCTAACACCGTTCTTACTTACTATATGCTTATAGTTAAGTCGGAGAGAGAGGCTGGTGTAATGGAAACTGTGGTTGGTTTGCACCGATGTTTTTGGGTATTTTATATTTATTCCTGGTCATTGCAACAAATTGAAATATATTATATTATATCTCTATAATGCTCATTTACTATCAATATCTTCAGCCCACACCGTATAATTTCATTGCTTTATTTACGGACGGCAGATTTCCGCTAGTGTTGTAATTATATCGATAATTAGTATAAAATGCGAATATAAATGTATAATTCCCTCTGCAAATACCCTCATTCTGGTATTACATGCTACATTCTAAGCATATCTTCCAATTAAAATATTCAGAGCTCTTTGAAATTATTTTAAAGTATACTAAATACTACCTTTAAAAATGAAATAATTTAGCCTTTTTTAGTTTCTCGCTATGGAGTACAGAAAAAGTTATGTAATGTTGCGCGAAAAAACGGCGAATTTTCGACAGAAAACCTTTTATTACGGCTAACGGAAAAGTGGATAAATTTAGTTGCTAACTTAAAAAAAACTCTAACACGTGGTGTATCCAGAATCCATGTTTTGTGGGTCCTTGATGCCTAAAACTCGAATGATGGCAGAACGTCTGTCTGTCCGTTCGTCTGTCTATCCATCTGTAAACAACTCTAGTGGCAAAACCGTTTGGCCGGTTTTCTCCAAAATTGATATTCCCCAACTGATCTGGCTGATGATAAATTATTATGTAAGTAAATTTGCTATTGCGGATGAGTTCTAGCTTATATAACATTGTGTGGGTCCATGCTCCGTTGCTTTGATGCAAAATAACTGATTCTATTTAATGGTTTTGCGCGCATATGTACTTATTACTCATTTTAAAAATATTTTTAAACATTGGAAATTTAATATAATTTAAGGTATTTTGTTTTTAAAATTACTATCAAAATTTAATTTTGTTTCCACTCATAAATTAATTTTTCGATGGCGACACATTTTAAATTTCTTTTAACTCTATTTCATAATATTCATTCATCATATTTCATAATATTCATTTTCTGATGACGTATATATTTTCACAGCCATTCGGTCACTGTTGCCAAAGTTTCAGAATTAGTAACATGATTCAGTTTTAAGTCCTCATTATAATCAGCATTTCTAGTTTCCAAATTGGCCTCGTGCTGATGGTGCACGTGGATGCGATACATAAGTTAGATAGTAATATTAAATTGTCAAACAATATCAGTTGCCTTGGACTGAATCAAAGCAGCTAGTGTTTTTTTGATTTGTGATAATGCGAGTCGACTATTCAAGTCACTAAATTCTCATTCGAAAGAGACGCCCCTGATACATGCCGACCGCCCTGGACAACTGCGGTTATTTAGTCCAGAGCGCCTGAACTTCCGCGTCACGAAGGGTTGCGAGTTCGATTCCTGCTCCGGACATGGTTGCGTGCTGGTGTGCAAATGTTCTGGCATACTGGAGCTCTCCCAAGACTCGTGTATCACCTTCCAACCTTCTTCCTTCCAGTGGCGTAATGAGGGAAAATGGCCCAGGGCAAGCCTTTCATATTGCCTCGCCTACATTACAGCAATCGTGTTTGGTTCATATTTGGTATCTGCATTTTCGTAACGATAGTGTCTTTGGTTACGAACTAAATAACAATTAAACAAGAAATTAGACAGAACAATATTTTATTATATAACAATAGGATTTGCAAATGTTCTTATTATACGTCTGAACTTTGCTACAAAAAGCTTGGAAAGAGTGAAAAAGAGAATGAAATTAAATAACAATTATAATAAACATACTAAATAAACTCAACTGCCAACTTTGTAATAACTGAAACATGGGAATGCTTCTGCAATGCAATAAAACTAAACTGGCAGTTTTCTTCCTCTTGCTCATTGAAACTATTCAATTATTTCATGAAAATTCGCTTGTTCTCATTCTTCTCTGTATACACGAAGAAACATGCAAAAAAATACGCAAAACTTACACAAACTTAAAATACATGATATTGTTTAAAGATTTAATCTTAAAAATCGCATTTCACTGAGGAAAAATTTTTCAATCATCAATATTGCAGTTTGTTGTCAAAAAATAATAACTTTTTCAATTTTCAAAAATTCCTAGAGATGGAACATGCGTCATTTTTTGGAACTTTAAATGGGACTGCGTCATATTTCTAAGCATACTTTGATCTATTCGAGGAAATATTGCTTTCAACATTATTTAGATTTCTCGCCAAGTAACGCGAAAACTACTCATTTTTTTATATTTCTATATGACCTTCCATAAACTTTATTAAGAAAAATATATTTATCTTTAATATTGTAGTTGTCCAAAGATGCCGAAATAAAGTTTGAACTTTTGCAATTTTTAAAAATTCAAAAAGTTGAACAACAAAGAGGCTTGCACCATTTTTACAAGTGCAAAAAAATAATCCAACAATTTCGATCGATTATTTAGAAAATTTTGAAAACGTTTCGTTACCGGCGGACGACTCCTACGATGTAAGTGCGAGGAAGTAGGAAGTTAGAGTTATTTTTCTTTTTTGGTGGGCAGAAATGCTCCCCAGAGAACTACCCAGGCTACCTCACCACAGTTGCGCTACTGCTTCCTTGCATGACCGGCTTGAAGAGCGTAGAGGCTTGGGGAATTTGCGACCAATAACGCGTTACATCAAGGCTGACGGTTTCCATGGAAAGCATGTAGAGTATTGTGGCATGGTTGGGCTCTTCAATGCATCACATATCACACTTCGCGTCCCCATCCTTACATTTTCACAGACACCTTCCCCTAGAACGGGCTACATGCAACCAAGATGAGCCTACGAGTTTCCTCGACAACAAAATAACCTGTTAAATTTGAATGTTATAACAGAGACAAAATAAATCACTTTTCAATCTTTTATTTACACAAATACATGCAAATAAATATATGACGGGTTGGTCTTGCAGAACAGCCTCATATTGGCAACTACATCAGTCTTGATAGTTTCCAAATTAAATATACAAAAGTATCTGTTTTTGGTATAAGCAGACTTTTACCTTATTAATAAAAATTATCCTTGTCTTTTTTCACTCTAAAGAGAAATTAAATCGTTTATTTCAGAAACTTGTCAAACGCCAAATTCCTCATTTCGAGAAAATTGAGAAAAAGTTTCCCAATTATTCTGAGTTTAAAATATTTTTATTTATATTTATTTATTTTGTTTATTATTATGCAGTCGATAAATGAATATGTTTCATATAAATATCTACTAAACGATGTGTCTATCCTCTTGAAACAATAATCCGCCGCCAATGCGTGTTTTAGATTTTGGCGTTTGACGGGTTTCTGAAATAAGCGATTCAATTGCCTTGTGGTCGTATTGTAAAAAAGTTGCAAGTTTAAGCTAGAAGGGAAAAATCATTAAAAGAATGGTTGAGAATATTCATAATAGGGAAATATTTGCTACAAAAATATTTATTTCATAATTTTACATGGAAACCTTTTGTTTTAAAAAGAACTGTTGCCGAGATCAGATCATCTCAAATATCCTGATAAAATTTCACTGACCATTTTACACAATTGTAATTATTATTGTTTAAATTTACTTAACAAAATAAAATTCAACAGTTTTGTTTACATCAGCAATTCAGTAAAAAGGTATACATTTCAAAATAGTTTGTACAATAGATTCGACAATGTATTTATTTATTTATTTATTTAATGTCAAAAACAGTTAAAAGCTGACGTACTATAGCGAGAAATGTATTCTGTACACGTTTTCTTAACTTCTGAAATACGTACCCTAACTCATATGCAAGTTGAATTCTGATTACAGATGTAATCGAATGTTTCTGGGAAAAACTTATAAGAATTAGAATATACTTATATAATATACTTATAAGAATATATTCGCTCCCGTGAAATAAAAAATGTTTGCAAAGGTAAATCAGCACAAATTTTGGCTATTATCCCCTATCGTGAAGGAATCGACTTACTGTCGCGAGAACATGAACTATAATTTCAATAACTATATTACCTATTGAACTCTAGAAAATGTGCATAAATTGTGAAGATACATTTACAAGTTGGAAACCGTCAGCACATTCATTCTCAATATCATGAAAGTGTATAAACAACTCTGTTACAAACGAATATTTTACAAAATCTGTAGTCAACGTTTTAGGTTAAATTGTATGGTTATTATCTCACAGTTTTGAAGTCTTGAGAAGAATACTCGAAATGATTTGGTAATTCTACGAAAGGATACCCTTTGATCCCGAATAATCGTACGATATTTATCTTAAGTTAGAGGGTCAGAGTTGTTTGTTCTCGAGGCCGTCAAAATCCAAGAACGGATCAGACGCCCATTCATAACTTCTCCACGTGTATAATAAACATAAATATGTTTCAGGCTGTGCTGGTGTGTTGGTGGGCCATCCCTTCGATACGATTAAGGTGAGAAATAAATATCGCAATTCTAGACTTGACTTTTTACATTCAAAATTCATTGGGTGACACATGCACTATCACGAGGAAGAGGCAAACAGAGCGCTATTTATAATATAAGAAAAAAATATTTAGTAAAGTTATGTTTTAATTAATTATGTAATATGTAAACACTTGAAATATTTCAATTGATTTTTATTAGTTATTACGAGATTTTAGGGGTGAAGTGCTCTGGACAGAAAGAATAACGGTGGAAACTCTTGCCACTGGAGTGGAAATTGCGACAGTTCATCAACCTTCGTTGTAACGCATTCACTGGGCAGTTACAAATACCTTCAGGAAGGGGGTCAAATAGTTTTTTGTAGTACTGGGTTTTGCAAATGTCACAAGCAATTCCATTATCTAACACATTCCTAGTTTCCTTGTTGATACATAACCCATGAATCTATTCTAAATGAACTGAAAACAGTGACTTGAAAGAAAATGAGGAACTGGAAATTAAATAATTAATGTTAATATATTTAAAAATTTACTCGGACGATAAACAACATATCTTAATTTTAAATAATTTAAGTATTTCAATATTCTTGGTGAAAATTCGGAACATTGTCTCTATGAAACTATTAAATGGTTGTTTCTAATATTAAACCGCACCACTTATTTGAAAGTATTTTTGGAATCTGGAAGAAGAAGAATTGAATCCAAGAATCTGGATTTTTGGAATCCTTAAAGATAAAATTTGGTGGCGTAAGATGTTTCATTTGACTTCGTAGTTTTATGGATTGGTGGATTATGAGGGTACGTCATCCAGTGTTGACAACGTCTCGACCATTGGTCTGCTTCAGAGCTATGGTCGATAAATAGCCTATTAAGTTCATGATATTACTGTAAATAGTACGAGGGCCGGGGATGGGGTCAATGGGCTGGGGTAGGCTCTCAGGTTTCTGGATCGGGTACGTAGCTTCCAAAAGCCCTTGTTTTGTATCACGTGTCCTTCACGACCTAAGGAACTTCCTGCAGGAGTCTCAATATGTTCGATGGTTGAATCTTGATCTCGAATACGTGTTAGAGCTTCCACAGTAATACGAGTATTTTCGTAGTTGAATGATTGTCTTCTGTAAGATAGGGAAGGAAATATTTTTTCTCTCCTTCAGCTGAATTTCTCAACACAGCTATTGATTTTAGGGTATTATTTTTCTAGTTTTCAGTTCCCTTATGATCATCATTAATAAAAAATCTTCTTCGAAGCTGATTGACATTTTTTCAATTGGAGTTGGACGGCACAGTGTCAACCAGCAAAATCTTCGGTCTGTCAATCATCTCCACAAACTAAAACTATTTTCAGATATTTTTATTCGCCCCAGGTGTAAAAGCACATGTCTCTGCCACAGTTAAGAACATTTTCGTAGTTTTCTCAAAGTTCTTGGGCTAGAGAACTATATTCGTCATGTGCAACTCAATGAGAAATTATCATACTAGTGTCTTAATAGATGCGTTGACTAGAAATGGCCAAATTGTAATTTGTTCTAATTTGTCATTATTTATTTCCAAACCACAATTCTGTGCCGGAAGTGGCCAATTAAACATTGTAAAATTTTGATATTTGTCAAATACTCGACTCTGTTATGGCCAATCGATATTCACCCCCTGATCGTATCTGATGCCAAACGGGCTCAAAAATGTACCCTTTAACGTTACATGATTGCAATTGCAATTTTAATAAGATTTTTTCAGTTTATTCTTGAAATATAAAAAGCGAAGAGAAATAAATTATCATCGTTATAATCCTCGCCTCTAGAAAGCTCTACCTTCTGCAACTTTAATGCCAGTGGAACGTTCTGAATTTTATTTTACAAATTTTATGGTTTGAGTGGCCAGTACCATCAAAGTGGCCAGTACCATCAGAGTGGCCAGTACCATCAGAGTGGCCAGTAATGGTATCTTTACCCTGCCATCTACCATGTTGATAAAATGACATTGCATGTCATTTCTGAGATGCGAGTATTTAACAAAAGCATGTCTTTTCAAAAAGTACCAAACTTCTCATGGTATATCTAGTTAGATACTGTGCTTTGGGTCCGCGATTCGGCTCACTGCAAGGCAATGCGCAGGGGTCACCGTGTGGCCTTCCGCTGCACGTGGCACAGAGAGGCGGCTCAATTGAGATCAACTACTCCTTCCGAGTGGTAGCCGCAATAGCGTGCCGGCTGCTGGGGCGGTGGCAAACCCAACTCGGGGAAAAAGGTTCACCTGTCATTCCTTTCACGGCACGGACGACTTGAAATCGGTCACCTTACGTCATGTGCCAACTTACGCCATGCTAGTGCCAACCTTCCCCAAAGCCTGCGCCAACCAACCTCACAAGTGGGGTTGGTTGACACATCTTGACATGATGTCTTTTAACAACTTTGAAAGTTCAACAGTCAAACATTAACGATTATAAAAAAAAAGTAGTTTCCATTGATTCAAAGAAACTAAACTGAAGTTGCGTAAAAAGAACTCACGTCTGTCATTCCACCTCTCTCTTCTATAAACCTGTTTTTGGTTGTTGATACAACTCGAGAGTAATATCATGTTCTTTGTAACATGTTCCTACCTACTTTATAACCCTGAATCAGGCCAAATAAATGGCCAAAACGTTTTAACTGTAGAAATGAACTGCATATTAACTGACATACCCTCACGACCCATCACCCAAGAGAAAGTATTGTGGTAAAAAATCAATTTTCACGACTCAGATATTTTTTTGTTTCATCAATATCAGGGAATTGGCTCTACTCACGTTTGATACGTTACATTGCTCTAAAAGAGTATTTTCAAACATTTCTTGTCATGGAACGCTTTACATGGAAGGGAATATAATACATATTCATATACACATCGGCAACTAGAGAGCTCTTGTAACAGAGGATTACTTCAATTAAAAATTATAAATTTTAACGGGGGATTACTTCGCAGAGCACTCAACACTTCTTAAGGAGCTAGGAGACGCGTTGCGTCTACATAGACGCAAGAAATTTTAAAAAATCTTTCACAAGTAGAAATTTATGTACGCATTGTACACATCGTTAGTCCCACATTACTTTCTAATATTATCGTTGTTTAATAATGACCTCTTTAAAACAAGTAATGCGTACATTAAATGAGAGACATTATCAAAAATATTGTCTTACAAGGAAAATACAACCATTCACAAGTGGAATTTCAACACGGTTGACGCTTTTGCTGTTTCATATATTCTTTTGAAGTTGGATGTAATGTCAGTGCTAGATCATCATTGCAGCTCCATTACCTGTTTCTAACTTTGTTTTCGTTGAAAAAATACCGTTTCATATAGATATGCTTAACAAAGACTTGTTCCTTCTAGAATTTTCCCAAACCTTCTGACCTTTTGGTCCATCAACACCATTGGGGCCGTCACTGGACACTCACGCGTCACACACGTGGCTTCCAGAACGCTAATATTCCGCAGCCAGTTCGCAAACTAGAGCACTACTGTGTCTCTACTTTGGTTATTGTCCACACCAGACAGTTACATAAATAATTTCATCAATCATTGCCTAATAAAAATACAGCCGATTACGTTTTGAGGGTTGTTGTACACTAAAAAAGACTTTGTTCTAGTAGATTATTAGATTTGTTCTTAAAAGACTATTATTAAATTTAGTGGTTAGATAATTATCGTATTTAAAGAAGAAGAGAGAACTGATTGTATTTCAGAATAATAATAATAATAATAATAATAATAATAATAATAAGTAATTAATAATACATAATATCATACATTAATTAAATAATTATTATTAAGTGTTATAGGACATCTTCTGTCAAGATACAGAAAGAAAATTACGTAATTAAGCTATACTGAATACATTTAATACTTAGTTATAAATAGGAATTTTAATCAAATATTTTGTACATAAACTATTATTTTCAAATAACAAATTCCGCTTCTTCTTTCTAGGTACACTTGCAAACCCAAGATGCTCTTCGCCCCATATACCGGGGCACTTTTCATTGTATGCAGACCATTGTTCAGAAAGAATCGGTAAGTTTTAGTTTTGACTTAATTGTTTTTGTTACAATAGATTGTTAACTAATGTATTATAATATAATTGTTATTCCTTTTGTAAATTTACAACTTCAGAGCAAAGAGTATATTTAAATAGCATAATTAATTTAGGTATTTTCACATTCTTCAATTATTTTACATTTAAACAAAATTTGCATTGATTCATAATCAATCATAAATATAAACAATTATGTAAAAACACAAGTATCTCCGGAATTACAAATTTTAAAATTATTTCAGATGTCAGATACTAAAGGTGTAAAGTTTCTCTATCTAAAGTTTTGAGATTTGAATACATTTTCTTTTCATAGAATAAATTTCAGACTGTTTGTAAAATGTATTTAATAAATAATACGAGCATCATTTCGGAATCTACAGGGGCACTCCTCTCTAAAGAATCAATCGCTGGACAAGATCGAAATATGTGTATCGGCCTCTCGCCACCGTTCCATCCAATGCATTTTTTCCTGTCTAAAGATATAAATATTTCAATCCATCAGCAGATGGGTCAAAAATATCGATCGGTAGAAACCTGTAGGTTGTGCGAGCATCCTCAGCACATAAATTCGCTGATCTGTCGAAATACTAGGAAAATACGACAAACTTGTTTAGAGTTCACATATCTATTTAAATGCTTTTCTTTATCAGATATATCAACACTATATCATATCAGATCACCCGTTTCTTCCTGCTTCCAATGAAATGGATCGTGGATATCCATAATGTCATGTTTTCCTATGTTTCTCAAAATTTATGTAATGTGCAATGCCCAATTAAATTTCGGGTCCCGAACAACTTTCGAGAGTTTGACCGACTTCAGACCCTCAACAGTTGTAATTTATTAATTATATAAATGTAAGTATTATAATAAAGTAATATAAATTTTTATCTATGACGATATGATGTTTATTTAGCGCACTTAAATGGGTGCTTTAAGAAGCTTCATTATAGTACTAGAACTCTAATGGATTTATTATAGTGCGGGATGCATAATGGCTTCATACTAATATTCCAGAACACGAAATAACGGCACTCACGTCAGAGTGCAAAAATATATTTTTTGCAATACCTCGCTGCATGTCCTCCCTACACACCCTCATTTCGCGTTCATTATGTCCACGTCACTTTCTCACTGCACGTCTTTATTACCCGTTCTCACTGCCCATTATCATTGCCCTTGCACATTGTTCGTTCTCATTGCCCTTCCTCATTGCATCGTTCTCATAGTTCACATCGCTCGTTATCACTGCTCGTGCTCACTACCCTTTCCCACAGTCGCTCATAACACGTTTCCTTGATCTGTACCATTTGGCAGTGCCCTTGCATTAGTTTCTGGTAGCACTGTCGTGGAGCGATAACGTTACTGCCTTGCATTAGATTGTTTCAGTGCAACAAATGAATAAAACGTTATGAAAAACATGTCATCACATTGAAAAAAAAAAAAGGTTTCCAACGGCGACTTCTCAGGGTAAATCTTATTTAGAACGATTTCACTACCGTCTCCACTATCCAGCCATTTTCACTGCTTATCACTACATTTGCGAGGATGGTGCCGTTTTCATGAATTCATGAAGACAAGCAATGAAACAACATGTATCGTAAGATAAGTGACATTATACGATTGTAGAAAAAATAAGTATCGCAATCGTCGTAGATAAAACTATCATAAATGTTTGACAAAACATGATAATGAATCTAGTAAAGCTTTTTCAATAGTTATTTTATTATGACGTTCCTGCCGTCGTTGTCGTTGCGTCTGACAAATACGTAGCCATGTGAGGTGAATGTCATTATTTTTATGTTTTGTTAGTTCATTATTGGGTGTTTATGAATCCGAAACAAAATACGGATTGGTATACATAAAAACTTTATGGGCCCTTCGAATTCTTTATGCGCTCCGCTGCCAACACAGCAAATGACACTTATTTGTTTATGGAATCGATTCGTTATACTTAAGAATTAAGCAACACAATAAAGAAATGGCAGAAGGTTGAAATATGGTGATATATACAGTTTGTTGAATTAGCATCTTACGGTGAACGTAACTGATTTTTGTAAAAAAGTATACATAAGTGACTTTGCAGGCGCAACGACTGTATGAAACGGACCTCATCAATAACTACAATGAACATAAGACGTCTGAAAGTGATTCATGTCATCAGATGAGCTGAAATTATCAGTAAAACAATAAGTTTAAGGCCTTCATTATTTTAATATACACAATTATGTGTGTGTAATTAGCTTACTCTAGAAGAACTTCCTTTGTAGGAGGTAAACATAACACGAGCTTCTGTACATTCTTGACTATCCGGGATGAGCCGCGTCTCGTTCAATTCTACTGACGTTTCGACCATCTTGCTGTGGCCTTCTATACTCAGTATAGCTCTGAAGAACGCCACAGATGGCCGAAGATGGCCGAAGATGCCGAAGACGCCAAAGATGGCCGAAACGTCAGTACAATTTACCGAGACGCGGCTCATCCCAGATAGCCAAGGATGTATTGAGTCCGGCCGCGGAAGCCTAACTGTGTTTACAATACACAATTGCAGTACTTTAATGTACTCGTGGATTACTAACTCCCTCATCGTCTTGGACTGTGGGCTGCGAAGAGCCGTGGCCGGCCGGGAGGGAGCGCGCTCTGGCGCGAAAGGGCGTGGAGCAAGCGTGGCGCTGTGGCTGTGGCAGGTGCGGGGCCTGTACCGCGGCATGACGTCGCCGCTGTGCGGCGTGGCGCTCATCAACGCCGTGGTGTTCGGGGTGTACGGCAACGTGCAGCGCCGCATGAGCGAGCCCGACGCCCTGTGCACGCACTTCTACGCGGGCGCCGCCGCGGGCGTGGCCCAGAGCTTCATCTGCAGCCCCATCGAGCTGGCCAAGACGCGCATCCAGGTAGGCGCTCTCTGCGATGCGCACTAGCATGCTCATTAATAGGCCGCAAGGTGGCGGTGTTCCTCTTTTCCTGGAACAGGAACGGAATCACACACGATTCGTTGGTTGACTGAATGATTCATTTGGTGTCTTCGAGCACGTCAACTGACACGGTCGTTCTATAATGTAGTGCGGGTTATATCCTTGGAGGAGGTAGTGTTCCCCGTCTGGGACGCAAAAGGTATCTCACACGTTCGATTGATTGAATATTTGGTACCTCCTGGCGCGTCAATTCCTATTATCGTTAGTGCTGTAAATGTAGTGCACGCTATACCCCGTAAGGTTGCACTGTTCCGCACCATCTGGAGCGGCAAATCCGGCGCCGAACTACGCGTCGGCTTGTGGAATTTTCCCTTCCCAGGTACATCCTCTAGCGGGGCTGCCACATGTGTATGGATGTGTAATGTATTTGTATGTAAACGTGTGTGTGTTCAAGGAAAGAGGGCGGAACAAGAATGAGGAAGAAATAATCGCCCGTGATCGTGCACATTTAAGGCACTGCTCCAGCGTTTGCCTGTTACTGATCGCAGAAGCCAAGCAAAAATGTCGATCAGAGCACTCAGTGGCCAGACGTTTCCTTCAGACCGGGCTTGAATTCGACCGCACTGTGTTGCTGTTGTCGGGACTCAATCCCCAGGTTCTTGCGATCGGTGACCCTGAAGAGGTAACGACAAAGCTGCCACTAACACTTTTGAGATTCGTGATAGCTTTACTCCTACGTGTGTGCTCTTTTCACGGTCTACCCTAGATGCCCCTTTGACTACACTCCAAAGTCTGCAGATTGCTCGCCTTTTGCTACCTGCTCTGTAGCGACTGAACGAAACTGTGGTATCTAAATAGTTTTAAATCCATGAAGTCGATAAAAATAAAAGAATCGTCGTAGTTTATATTTCTACCTCGATTCGGGAGTCGACGTTAACAAGCAACCAAGTCCATATTTTTTATATCGGCCGTGTACCGCTAAATACGTTTCGTATCTACCTTGTAAGAGAAAATCAGAGACATTAGAAATAGTTTCTTGGTATGTGAGTGCTCATACACCATCATTTGCTACAATTAATACGTTTCGATCGTACTCAATGCACAACATACTGTTCAAATCCTTAACGGATACTGGCTATTAAGAGAGGCAATTCCTTTCTCCATTTGGTTGTGATAAATCAATAAAAAATAGAGAATTAGGGACAGGTTGACTTTTGATAAAACATCCTTCAGTGATTTCATTTAAATTCATTTCAGTTAAATCTTCTGCTCCGATATTTTTCTATGTTCGTTACACTTAATACCCGCTCTCATTGAGTGATTTTTACATACATCGCACCGGGAAATTGGTATTTCTGTTGGATGTGTTACATTTCGGGAAATGAATGTTTCATCATCAAGCCTCATGTTCTATCCTTCTTCATGACTATATCATATCAAGCGTATTTTATACATAATTTTATATGCAAAGAGGGCGGACCTCGATTACTCAAAGTTCCAAATAATTCGAATATTTCCAGTTCATTACCCTTCTTTTCCCTACAATACAAAACAAACGTCAACAATGTTTTTGCAGTAATCTGGGAGTGCCAAGTACCGGAAAGTGTTCCAGCGAGATTAAAACATTTAAATTCTGTCGTAACTAGCAAACCGAAACTACATTTTAAGCAATTATCATCTTAAATAACAATTTTGCGTATCATAGACAAGGTAATCTGAAAATTTCATAGGTATAAAATATTCATCACATGTCGCGTTGGCATCAGTTGGGTACGTGAGTGTCTCTTATCGACTTCTTAAGTAGTATGAGTGCACAATGCAGTGCCTCAGAATAAATGTTACAAATTGTTTGCAGATGTAGAGGGAGAGAAAATGATCACTTTTTGCCAAAGAATATGTAGTGCGAAATTTCTTATAACGGAGGTACATATGAAACTCGCATTTTATGCAGGTCAAGTTGCAACACTGTCAAGCACATTTAGTGAACCCGCTTAACACTTGCGCATTCGAAGTTGCCTATCATTCAGGGGCAAATATAATGTGTTATATAACCTTTGCAACTACATGCTCCTTGGTAAAAGTAAAGTATAATTTTCTTGCTTTCTACATCCCCAATAACATTTATTTTGGGACTTGTATCACGGCGACGAGATTTTTTTAATTCCTTGCCCAACTCATGTGCATGCGGTTGACGAATAATTTTAAAGCGATAATGCATACGGACTAAAAAATAAATATTCGGCCGGTTGAGAAGAATCTCCCGTTAAAGACTCGTTCGACTTCAATTATACACCCGTTAACTCACCATTTAAAGCATTATCACAACATTTTACTTTCAAAATTGCATTCGTATAGAATCCTTAGTACTGCTTTAGATTTGTTTGTACCTTAAACAAACATCTCAGAGAGTAGACATTCCTTACTGAAAAGAAGGAACATGATGTGCACGCGTTTCTGATTCATTACCAATTGCACATCTAATTTAGGCTCTATTATCTTCGAACAGTTCTCTTTGTGGGTGATATAAATATTCTTTGCAATAAAGAAACCAGGAATAGTACTATATCAGATATTTCAAATTGGTTCCGTAATACCAAATTAATAGTAAATGAAAGAAAACGGTTTCAATAGAGTTTTCCACGTCAAATAAACAATTCTTTACACCATTGGAAATAAATGGTGCGCTCTTGACTGATATTAAGGTAACAATATTGTTAGGTCTCTCAATTCAGTCAAACCTTAAATGGATCGTCCATTTAAATAGTTGAACACAAAACGAAGTTCGCAGGTCCGGGTCGCAGTAGTGCCGTAGCGATCTCGGACCGAAGCATGGAATCCCGCATGGATGCATTTATGTTCCATGCGTTTATGTTCGTCCCCACATCACGTCATCTTCATAGTTACCATACCGTTAAATGCAACAGTGGTCGCTAAAAACCTCGATGTTGATGCAACAAGAAATAACAAAAAAAATTCATTATACTACGCATTCAGAATTCCTTCAAATTCTGTCAGCCTTCATACCGCGGGTGGTGTATATTCCACGAATATTCATTTCCTCTGGAGTTAAATTCACATACAAATGTACACTATTTTACTACACTTTGCCAGATGACATAAAACGATACAAAAGTTTACGTCTCAAGTAAAATCTTTTCTGCTACATAACTATTTTTATATACAATTTGTTACTATACCGAACACCAAAAACAAAAGTAATATTAATTTTAACAATGATATTAAGATTTTTAATCTGATAAAGATGATAATGTATTAATCTCCATTTGAACCATATAATTCTAAACAACCTACAACATCAACAACATAAGTATTGTACCTCAGCTTCTGGGACAATGCCTCACATCTCAATGAGGTTTTTCTAACAGTTTTCCTGATCCGTTGAGCAAATGCAGAGACGGCCCCTTGTTTTTCTTCTGGTTATGAATGTAACTTCATTATATGTGCATATCTTCTAGAAATCAGTGGGAAATGTATCTATCCAAATGATCGTTCTCCATGTTGTCGCGACAGGAAGAATTATTTCTTCCCGAAGGACACGATGAGGGATAAGAGCGCAATTATAGCTGATTTACCCTTGGCCATAGATTTTATTACATCGGAGCGAATATTTTTTCAACAATTCTTGTCAAACCCGCTCATTTCTTTGAGAATTCAACTTGTATATGGTTTAGTGTGGGGATCCTAGAATTAAGAATGTGCACAAGATACACTTCTCCCCGTAGCAAGTCACACATAGTTTTTAACGGATGTGGATGTAAGATAAAATTTAAAAAAAAAACTTGAACCCTGCATTTCTTCCATGTTGCAAAACGTTGTCATTAGTTCTGCCTCTGTTGTGCAGACGATTGGATCACGCGAAACCCAATTCTGCGGGTTTGCGTCCATGTAATGGTTTGTTCCCACCATGTGGTTTTGGCGTCGTTGGCTTCTGTTAGCTTCTTCCATGGGAAACCACCGCCTATTCCATCTCAAGTATTAATTCATCCATAACCATTCACTTTTCATCATTCCCCCCTCATGCTCACCCTACCATCCAATCTGTGGGCTGAAATTGCAAACCATTCCTGTCATCGGGTCACAAAGGGAAACAAAGGATTGGATCAATTTAGACAACTGATTTTAACCTTACCGAGTGAGCACATAAGGTTCATAAAATACACTTGACATAAGTTTTATGTACGAAGATCTACATTGAATGTGGATATGTCTACTTTTTTAAGTGTTTTGTATAAATACGGGTAAAATGAACACTATATACCGGTAGCGTTCTTTATAATTCCGGTTCATGTGTCTCGATGGCTAACCTGAGTGATGAATGAATTCATGACGCGATGAAGACAATAATTATGATACCGATGATGATTTTGATATTAATCATTTTGCTGATAGGGAGAGTGTGAATCGCGAGAAAGCTGAAAGTCTTCGCTGATTGTTTCCGGGTACGTAAACTGCTAGGGTCATTAGTCCATTTAATGTAGCGAATGTTTTATTTGACCTACACATTGGTTGGCGGGGGACTCCCTCTCCAGGTCTCTCCCTTCGCAGGACATCCCTGGAGCTGGAACAAACTCTAGCCTCCCGACTGGTCTCTTGTCATGTGTGGCAATTTAAAGCGTGTCTTTTTAAGCCTGTGAGAGTACGGGGAAAGGATAGTACAAGATAACCTCGCGAGATTAAAAAATCGGCCCGTCGTGACACGAACCCAGTACTGCCCGGTGAGAATCTGTGTAGAGACAGCAGTAATAGTGTCTGTGAATTTAAGTCAGATGGTCAAAAAAACTTTGCCCTTTGCAAATTTAATTCAGACTTATCAGAATTTCAACCGATACAGGTTCTCTCATATTAAATGTTACAAACTAATTTCGCATGTAGTGGAGTTTAATGTAACAAGGAACACGTGGTGAAAAATTTCATGTAATACTCGTAATAACGACTGTAGACCCTGCAACAGTTGAAGAAGCGCTGAAGAGCCTCGACCGGGAGACCCTAGGTTCGAGCCCCGACGGTGCACCGCGCTGGCAGGGGGTTCGACACTAGACGAGACAAGACGAGACGAGATAGACCGGTCGAATTCACCTGCGCTCTGGAGGAGAATTCTAGCGGACGGCTGCTCTAATCGATAGTTTTCCGTGGTTTCTCTATCAATGAATACCAGGATATTGCCAGAGCAGTATCCTACCAAAAGAGCCACGCTCCGAGCGCGATCTCTCCTTACTGTTTGTCTTCTTTTCACCACTTACTTCCACACAGTTACAAGGACTACACTATCAGATATGTTGGGAGAATAGTCGGAAGCTTAGGGTTTGTCCCGGCTGGGGTGGTGCCACGCCGGTGGAAGATACCCGGTTACGTAAACCCCCCAAGCCGGCGTGTATGTCGGCGCCATATCTCGCCATCCAGCAGGGGAAGTAGTCCACCGCCTCCAGTGATAGGGCATGCACTATGCTTACGGGACTACCGACTGTACCGGTCTACGCGCCCGAAAGCATAATACAATCCTGCAATCAATTTACACTGCATTTGTCCTTGATTGGCGGACCGGTGACTGGCACATGCCCGTCCTGGCATTCAAAGACCCGTGCGCGAGACGGGGCATTCGCCACGCAACTTGATGGCGTGCGTTCCGGCTGGCCCGCAGGTGCAGATGTCGCGAGGCGCGGCAGGCGGCGAGGTGGCGCGCGGGCCGCTGCAGTGCCTGGTGCGCGTGGCGCGGGTGGAGGGCGCGCGTGGCGTGTGGCGCGGCCTGGGCGCCACGGCGGCGCGCGACTCGTCGGGCGTGGCCGTGTACTTCGTGACGTACGAGTGGCTGGCGCGCGCCATGGCGCCCGGGGGCGACCAGCCGCTGTCCACCGGGCGCGTGCTGCTGGCCGGCGGCCTGGCCGGCACCGTCTCCTGGATCTCCTCCTTCCCGGTGGACGTCGTCAAGTCCAGACTCCAGGTACGCTTGCGTCAACGCCATAGCTCTTCCGTTACGGAAGTGCCGTGCACGGTATATCCCGAAAGGGGGCGGTGTTCCTTGCCCGCTGAGACCGGCGCCGAGCGGGAGTTTGTCCTCGAGCGCTTCTCCCAGCGGTCGCCGCCCCTGCGCCCTGCCGGGTCGAACTAAACTCTCGACGTGCGCGGTAGTGTAGAGCATGTAAGTGTGTGTGAGTGAGGGGAGAGGGGGTACAAGAATAAGGAATAAAAGGTCGCGCGCGGCCATGTCATCATTGTTAGTGTTTTGTTCCGTCATTAGCTGGGTAATGTTCGTAGGAAATGTTTGTGTTGCCACTGAGCTATCACAGCCGGTATTTAATTTTTCGTGGTGAGGGTTGAACGGAGGAAGGCTAGATTTTAGAGTGAAAAGTGCTCTTGAACCAAAGGACTTTGCGCCTCCATTGCAAAGTCGACTGTAAATAATACAGGGTCTTAAGAACACCTTGGACTGATGCCAGTATGGTTTGGGTGCGCACCTTCCCTGTGTATGCTTTGTTTCTGCTGTGGAAACCATTATATGACCACTACCAACGTATTACCAGATAGAGGATATCCGTTGGACAGTCAAATGAGCAGCCGTGTGTTTCACTAAAACTCAAAATGTTGAGCAGGCATTATTCCCATTAGTATTGCTCCGAACACAGTATAAATTAAAGGGAGGGACGATAGACACCCCGAAGAAAATTGTTAGGGGTTTTGCTTTAAACTTAAGTTCTAGTTCAAATTTATATTTTTAATCCGTGTGTAATTTAGAACCAATAAGATATCGCATATATTAAATCATATTAAATGTTAAGAGTATTCAATTTACTACTATTATTTACAAAAAATTTCCTCTCCCCTTCAGTCCGCTATTCATTCCCACGCTGAACCTACGCTAAAAAATTCAGAGAGAGAGAGAAAGGGCAAGGCAGTGGAAGAGACAACAAGATATTGCACGAGAGAGAGGGATAGCGCCAGGGACAGGAAGGAGAGAAAAGAGAGAGGGTGTTAGGGGAGCGGGCAGAGCGTGGGGAGAAGGAGAAGGGGAGGCAGAGCCGCGAGTGCAAGAGGCGCGTGCCCGCGTGCTTGCAGGTGGACGGCATGGACGGGCCGCGGCGCTACTCGGGCTTCTGGGACTGCTGCCGGCAGAGCGTGCGCGCCGAGGGGCTGTCGTTCCTGGGCCGCGGGCTCACGTCCACGGTGCTGCGCGCCTTCCCCATGAACGCGGCCACCTTCGCCGTGGTGACGTGGGTGTTCCGGCTGGCGGGGCCCCAGGGCGAGGCGGAGCGCCCGCCGCCCCGGGTGGGGCCGCGGCCCGACGCCGCAAACGCCCTGCCCTTCTGGGCGCGCGCGCTGCTGCTGGCGCGGCGGACCCGCTGTCGAGGCTCCGCCGGCCGCCCAGAAGCAGCTGGCCGGGCTGGGGGGCGGGCGGCGCGCCCCCGCCGGGGACCTGCCGCCGCGTCCTTCCAAGCGCACGTGCCCCGCGCCGCCGCCGCCACGCCCCCCGCACCCCGCCCCCCGCCGCCGCCGCCGCCCACGAGTTCGCCCTCCGTCGCGCACGCAGGACCCCATCACGACGCGGACAAGTCGGCGGTGGAGGAGCAGGTGGCGGCGGCATCCGCGCCGAGAGGACGGCGGCGAGGGAGGAGGCGCCAGCGGCGGCCCGCGCCTTATGATCCATGAAGCTCACGTGTTTCCGAGAACTGGTCGTGTTTGTGATACTGGACGCAGTTGTAGGATTAGAAAAATTCCGCATATGAGTTTGATAGCACAGTTCTAATGTTTTTTTGGAGGCAAAAAACTACAAACATAATATACTTGTAAAGCATAAAATTATAAACCCAGAGTAACCTGGTAGTACAACGTCACTATTTTAGAATAATACAAAGCGTGGGGATAGATGCTTGCGCACAGGTGCGAAATATAAACTAATCAATGCAACTTACTAGAATTATCCTATAAATGACGGATGAATCAGGAATGGTGTTTGTTACCAAAGAAATTTCTTCATTAGAATTGACTATGTTTTCGAATGCATAGAGTGAACTGCAAGTGCATCGTGTTATTCAAAATTGCTGCATGGATGAATTATTAAGTGTCTCTTAAACATTTATATATAAATACAATGAACATTATTTTCGTCTAATCTATCATGTACCAGACGAAAGAAAAAGGAAGGTAATATATAAAATATACAACTAATTTGTATTTATTCGTGAAAGATATTGGAGATGATGCGTGGGGGAAAAGTATTTTCATTCAATGCATTGTAAATATTTTTAATAAACATATATATTACATACCCAATACGACATTATTATTCCCAATTTATACATTAAAATAATATACTTCATTACGAACCGAGTCAAGACAATAGCAAGAATTACACTACACTGGACTGGGTCCATACACTGGAAATACCTATCAGCACTTTTTAATGAATTAAAAATATTAATTTATCATATTACTAATTTCCCATGCGCGTATAAATCCAAATAAATCTATGACGCCTCCTACCATGTGAAAGTTGTCTACGGGTTCATTAGATTCCAAGAAGTTGCAAAACACTAAAAACCATTAAACAGTTTATATTTTGACTGAAAAGTCAAGAAACCTTATAAGTGTTGTTGCGCCTCTTCTGGCACCACCGTCCACCGCCGCAGCGAACTCAGTGCAGCGCAATTGCCACTGCTCGCGCCATGCGCCGGAATGGCTCCGAGGAAGAGGCTGCTCGCCAGTCAATGTTTGCTGTTCACGCTATGGAACAGTTAATTTGTTGTTCGTGATAAGTGTTCAGGCTACTGTTTAAAAACCTATTTTGTGTGGTTTTGTTCAGCAGCATTTCTGCTGCTACAGGTCACAAGGATAGTAATATTTAAGCAATTGTGTGCCGTTAAATCGATAAAAGTCAATATACCAGCAAAGAGAGGTATAATCATAAGTAGTAATGTGAAAGGATGTAAAGTTCGATGTTACGTTCAATTTAGTATGTGTATTACTAACTTTCAATGCATGCAGAAATTAAAAGATAGCTATGAAGCCTCCGGCTATGTAATAGGTTCCTATGGCCTTGATAGATAGCCAGAAACACTGAATAAATACAAAAGCAAGGAAGTTTTAGTTTGGGGTACAAATGACAATTTTTATAATGTTAATTCGCAATATACATGCACTGTATTAGCTATAAATCAGAAGACAATAAAATTTCAATTGATATAATCTGGATTAAATTGGCAAACTAAAAATAGTTGTGCTTCAACACCATATACATTCTTGCATTATTTCTAACATTTGCATTATCGAAAATTCAGAGAGTTAAACGAAAATGTGACCATCGTCATTTTGCTCTAACCGTGAAAAAATATTTAAAAAATTCTTCATCTTTTATAAAATTTTCATTTTTTATAAAATGTTTTGGTTATAAATTGCATAAATTTTAACCACAAATCACGGGATATTACAAGTTGATTTTATTGTACATCTTTCTTAAAGATGAAATGTCTTATAACAAATTTAATTTAAGACAAACATCTCTATCTACAATATTGTTCTTTTGCCATCTTATTTTTTTGCAAATTTCAAAACTACAGAGTTCGACGAAAATTGTACAAGCACTAATTTCCACCAACATTTGATACATACCAGGAGAAAATTTAAAGAAAAAATTTGGAGCCGTTTTTGAGAAAACAATGGTTTACAAATTGCTATATTTCACGCGAAACATTCGTATTTTCGAAAACTTGTCGAGGATCTTATTTCAAGATGTCTTTGAACAACTGATTTCATTAAGAACTAAATCTCTATCTTTAATATTGTAATTGTAGGAAGACAGAGAAAAGAAACGAACTTTTACAATAACGAAAAATCAGCAATTACAATGAAAATTAGACCCATACCAAGTTCTTTACGCTTGCCGATTACAAAATGTCATCAAAATATTTTGAGGCATTTTTGAGAAATCTTGAAATTGTTGACGCATCATGTGACGCCCACCCCCCTTGAATAATATGAAATTCAAATATCTTTTTCAAACTCCCAGAGCCGTGTGTTAGTTCAGATCGATTGAGAGATATCAATTTCGGAGATAATTATGTGAACGGTTCAGGCGCAAGCATTGACCACATCCAGACAGACGATCGGTCAGACAAACAGACTAACGGTTTGATAGTTGTCAATTTTTCAGTTGGAAGGACCCAAACAAAGTGGATTCTGACTACAAAACGTGTTGGCCGAAGTAATGTACTACATATTGGTACAAGATTTATCCGCGTCGTAGTACGAACACGACAATATTAACTTTATTTTTAGAATTACTGTGAGAAGGCATTCTTGTATATTAAATTAATCAATTGCAATAATTTTCACAAGATATCAAAATAACTGTTGTGTAGTGGTTTTTCAAACACAGAGATCGCATTTGTTCAATTTCGAGTTTAAAAAAGGTAAAACATTCACGTGTACGAAAACGATGATGATGATAATAATAATAATAATAATAATAATAATAATAATAATAATAATAAATAATAATAATAATACTTTTTTTTTGAACTGCACCGGGCATAACTCGGAGGCAGCTAATTACATAAATAAAATACTACAGCTAACATGAAAATTATATAATAAGATGGGAGATGGGAGTTGCTATACTTTACCTTATCTCATTGTGATTCGAAATGAGAAAAAACTGGTCACGTAAGTTTAACAAAACAAATATATTGTGTAGTGAACATTGAACTCGTCCTCAAACATCGAACACAGGTTCCAAATTTCCATTTCATGAGTTCTTTTGGGCGGAAGAAACTAGCTTGCAGCAGTTTTAACAGTTTCCTTATAATGTTTAATAGTATCGCAAGTGACATTTTTATAACTCGCAACTTTGCTCAATAATGTGGTGGCTCAATAGTCAATCCAAATTACGACTTCTATTAAATAAATACGCATAGAAAACAACGTGATAATCGTGCAAGTATTATTAAGATTTCACGTTAGAAATAGCGAATAGAAAATGGTAACATTGATGCATACACTCATGTAATCTATACGAATTAATCTGCAGAGAAAATTGTAGGTCAAATCAAGAGACATTTTTAACTAAATATAAAGGAGAAGAAAGAGCAATGAAAATAATGGGGAAGTAGAGCAAGAATGTGAGAAAAACAGAAGTAAAAAACAGCATTTCTCTTCAATACAAAGTAGATAATGAGATGACTCTCTGGCTCTGATGAAAGAACAATATATTCTGAAATGACAAAACATAATATTTTTTCATTTACGTGAACAACATAGCATTTTCTACAAAGAAAGATCAACACGTGGTTGTGATTTACCGAATAAAAACAACAAAGAAAATTATTATCATATTTTTATTAGAAAATATCTTAGTTCGTAATTGAATAACCTTTGTCCAAGTCATATTTTATCACTTCGCAGTTTTTCAACCACAGTTTTGTGTACTTAATTGAGTGGGTACGTTTAAGACAATGCAAAAATAATGAAAAGATAAATCGTTGTGCACAAATCAATGTAAAATATTACAGTGCGTGATAACTGAAAGAAAAGTAATACGAAAGAACGGCTGCAAGTCACAGTAGGCAACTAACCCTTCGGTCACTTATTTCAACTTGATAGTCTTGGTCGAGTAAACGAGCCTGTCTCATAGATATCATTCGACGTCTTTTGACTGTTGACGCCATGAGACAGAGAAAGATATCCTCCCCCTCATTGCCGATTCAACATAATCGATAAGAGACTGGTGGCTCTGCAAGTTTGAAGAAGATATTTTGATTTAGTTTGTGTGGGGAGGTACTTTACAGAAAGAATAAATAATATTGAAAAACATTTTTCAAAACTTTCCCTAAATGGCTCCAACTTTTTTGAGTGATCTTAGACTTCCCATAGGGCAAATACGATTCAAAGAACAGCGCAGATCTCATTTCCGTTAAAAGCACTGATTTTTCGTAAATTGCAAAAGTTTAAATCTTTGGCGTCATTCCACAACTATAATATTGGCGATAGATATTTTTCTCCAATAACATCTGTTCTAAAAAATCAGATCTTTAAAACAAGGGCGGCATTTTAAGAAAATAAAACTAGTAGTTTCAACTAGTAGTTTCGCGTAAATTCTGCTGGAAGTTAATGCAATCTTTGAAGAATGTTTTTTCTTAAATACCGCTCTGAAGTTTTTCTGTATTTTTTTCCGATGGATAGAGCAAATGTCGCTTAAAATGGCGCAGTCGACAATGCAAAATGTCATGTTTGATAGATCGCGATAGTAGATATTTCGGGCACAGTTTGTAATGCTTCACCCATTATTTTCATTAGTTAGAAATAATAATTAGCTGTTTCCTACATAAGAAAATACGAATAACTGTGTTTACAACGTAAGTAGGCTGGGAGAAAAGTAAAAGAAAGAAAAATGGACAAGAAGTGAAGAAAGAAGATTAAAGTGAAGACAGAGAATAATACAAGAGAAGACGAAGAGGAAGGAGGGGATGTGGGAAAGCAAGTATCGGAGCCGACAATATGTAAAAGGTTAATGAGACAATTTAATGTAATTAGCTATTACACGGCGTTTCCGGAGTGTCCTTTATCACACCACCGGCCCCTGCGGCCCAGTCCGCTCTGCCCTTTCAACCCTCTCTACCCCTCTGCCCCTCTCCCAGCCAGAACGCCACACCCTC